CGTGCTTTATGTCCTCAACACGTCAGTATCACACACTCTTTACTCTATCACCTTGTAGCAGTTGTGTGGAGGAACCATATATATATGGATGGATGGCGCTACTTGTGTGTGTGCGTGCGTGCGTGCGTGTGGCTGTAGTTACTTGTGTGTAACTCTTTCAGGAGTGGGTTAAACAAATACACCGTAGCTTTACACGCAGCAGCCTTCATACTGGAGCCTTCTCACACGAGGCTTCTCTCACACTGGAGCTTTCTCAAACAAGGAATCTCTCAAACTGGAGCGTTCTCACACAAGGCTTCTCTCACCCTGGAGCCTTCTCACATGAGGCTTCTCTCACACTGGAGCTTTCTCACACAAGGCTTCTCTCACCCTGGAGTCTTCTCACATGAGGCTTCTCTCACACTGGAGGTTTCTCACATGAGGCTTCTCTCACACTGGAGGTTTTTCACATGAGGCTTCTCTCACCCTGGAGCCGTCTCACATGAGGCTTTTCTCACACTGGAGCTTTCTGACATGAGGCTTCTCTGACACTGGAGCTTTCTCATATGAGGCTTCTCTCACACTGGAGCCTTCTCACATGAGGCTTCTCTCACACTGGAGCTTTCTCACATGAGGCTTCTCACATACTGGAGTTTTCTCACACGAGGCTTTTCTCACACAGGAGCTTTCTCACATGAGGTTTCTCTCACACTGGAGCCTTCTCACACGAGACTTCTCTCACACCGGAGCTTTCTCACACGAGGATTCTCTCGCAATGGAGCTTTCTCACACGAGGCTTCTCTTGCAATGGAGCTTTCTCACACGAGGCTTCTCTCGCAATGGAGCTTTCTCACACGAGGCTTCTCTTGCAATGGAGCTTTCTCACATGAGGCTTCTTACCATGGAGCTTTTTCACACGAAGCTTCTCTCACACTGGAGCCTTCTCACATGAGGTTTCTCTCACACTGGAGCTTTCTCACACAAGGCTTCTCTCACACTGAGGTTTACCTCACACTCCTCAGAACGACACTAGCTTTGGTCCACTGACTAACTGGCTTTGGCCTACTCAGTCTTTCAGTGCTTGACTCCCACTTTTGTAATCAAAGATGCCCAGTTAATTCTTAATATTTTTGACCAACGTTTTCTCCCTGTCTTGCCTTGGCTCTTGCAGGACGCGTGCCACCTCCCGCGAAGAGAAGAGCCTGCAGAGCTTCCTGGAGCAGCCGAAGGAGAAGTGGGTGGAGAGTGCCTTTGAGGTGGACGGCCCCCACTACCACACCCTCCTGGCCCTCCATGTCCTCCCGCCCGAGCGGTGGAAGGCCATCCACATTGACGTCCTCAAACGCCTACTGGTGGTTGCCCAAGCCAGGGTGGCCTCCCCAGCTGGAGCCAGCAGGTGGGCCCGCTCTTCCTCGGAGGGTCCAAGACAAGACAGTTGGGAAGGGGCTCTGGGGGCTCTAGGGCCACAAAGACGAGGGTCACAGAGAGTTTGTGGAATTCTAGTTCGGGGTTCGAATCTCCACTCAGGCCTGGAAACCCACTGGAGCCAGCTTTCTTCTCTTCTGATGCGTTCTTGGCTGGTTCCTCTCTTTTTCCCTCTGGATTATTGATGTCCTCCTGGGGGTGGTCCTTGCCCTCCGGCTATTCATCAGCCGCGTCTGAGGCAGCAAAAGGAAGCCATTAAGAGCACCCTGCGAGGCTCAATTTTCCATCTCTCCCCCCTCTTCTTCCAGGCTGACTGATAAAGCGGTGAAGGACTACTCGGCCTACCGCTCCGGCCTCCTCTTCTGGGCCCTGGTGGACCTCATCTACAACATGTTCAAAGTAAGTGCGCCGGGGGATTCAGGGAGGAAGAGGGGGGATCCCTCTTTGCCCTCGTAGCCAACGCTTCCCAGCGGGCCCTCATCCCCAAGACGCTTCTCCTTCCAGAAGGTGCCTACGAGCAACACGGAGGGGGGCTGGTCCTACTCGCTGGCCGAGTACATCCGCCACAACGACATGCCCATCCATGAGGCGGCCGACAAGGCCCTCAAGACCTTCCAGGAGGAGTTCATGCCCGTTGAGACCTTCTCCGAATTTCTGGACGTGGCTGGTGAGTGAGGACGGGCTCATTCTAGCGGTTGCTGCTGTTGCTCCTCCCCCTTCTCCTCCTCCTCCTCCTCCTCTTCTTTCTTTCTCCTTCTTCTCTTTCTCCTTCCCATTTTTCTCCTCCTCCTCTTTTCCTACGTCTCCTCCTCTTCTTCCCCTTCTCATTTTTTCTCCTCCTCTTCGGCTTTTCCTCCTCCTCCTCCTCCTCTTCTCCTTCTTCTCTTTCTCCTTTCCCTTCTCATTTTTCTTGTCCTTCTCTTTCTCCTCCTTCTTCTCCTTTTCCTCCTTCCCCTTCTCCTTCTCTTCGTTCTTCTCTCTCCTCCTTCTCTTCCTTCTCATTTTCCTTCTCTTTCTTCTTCTCTTCTCTCCTTTTCTTTCTCTCCTCCCATTTTCTCCTCCTCCTCTTCCTCTTCCTTTCTCTTCTCTTCCTTCTTTTCTTTCTTCTCCTCCTCCTTCTCCTCCCCTCCTCCCCCTCCTCCTCCTCCTCCTTTTCTCCTTCTCCTTTTTCCTTTCCCCTTCCTTCTTTTTCCTCCTCTTCTCCTTTTCCTCCTTCCCCTTCTCCTTCTCTTCTTCTCCTCCTCCTTCTTTTCCTTCTCATTTTCCTTCTCATTCTTCTAATTCTCTCCTCCTCCTTCTCTTTCTTCTTCTCTTTCTTCTTCTCCTTTTCTTTCTCTTCCTCCTTCTCTTTCTTCTCTTTCTCATCTTTTCCTTTCTCCTCTATTTTCTCCTCCCCCTCCTCTTTTTCTCCTCCTTCTTCTCCTTCTCTGTTTTCTCCTTCCTCTTCTCCTTCTTTTTCTCTTTCCCCTTGTTCTCTTCTCTTTTTTTCCCCTTTTCCTTATGGATAGTTTTCTTTGCTGGTCCATCACATGATTCAAGGCTAGCTTTGACTGTCATTTTCTTTGAAATATGTAAAAAAGAACATGTTATTTTGCAAGACATTTGGAGCATAACGTGACGTGGGCGGCTCTGTTCTCTCTGTTGGGGTGAGCGGAAGGCCTTCCGTCTGGGCAGCAAAGGAAGGGGCTTTCCGGCCATGCTTCCGGTCCTGATTGAGTCTCCTTCTCCTCTCCTTCCAGGTCTGCTGTCAGACATCAGTGACCCCGAGGGCTTCCTCAGGGACCTCTTCAACTCCATCCCTTGAGCCGGAAAGACCTGGGACAAGCTTCTTTCCCATCTGACTCCCTCTGTCTCCTGCTGAGGAGCGAGCGTTGCTGTTACTTTCTTCCTTCCTCTCCGCCTTCTTCTCCCCTTCCGAGTTCTTGACGTTGGGCTTCCCTCCCCTCCGGAGTCTCAGCCCACCCTTCCCACCCCAGAGCCAGGTTGACCGCCCCCTTCTTTCCCGTGTGGCCATTTTCCCTGTCAATAAATAAGTTAAATACAATGGAAACAACGGGGTTTTGCGACCAGTTCAAGAGGAGGTTGGTACAGTTCTCGTTCAGTCCGAGATGCATAATGTGCTCCTTGTTTGGTTCAAAACAGGCCGAAGTTGGAGAAGCTCTCTTCTGGGTGGGTTGAATCAAAACGTGGAGATAAGTATCCATGAGGACTCCATCACCGCACCGAATTAATGACGTGGTAGGGGAACAAGTCGTCTTTGCTGCTAGAACCAAGATTATGAAAGTCAATATCCCAAAGACTTGCAGGTTTCCACATTCGTAAGAGTGCTTCCAAAGACAGGCCAACTTCTTTCAAAGCGAGGGGCACACAATTAAATAGGAAATAGCGCTTTCAAACCAGGAAGAGAACATTTTTGAAATGTTATATAGTATAATGCACTCCTTGCTTGACTCAGAACAGGCCCAAGATGGAGAAGCTCTCCTCTGGGTGGGTTGAATCAAAATGTGGAGATAAGCATCCATGAAGTCTCCACGACTGCATGGAATTAATGACATGGTAGGGGAACAAGTCGTCTTTGCTGCTAGAGCCAAGATTATGAAAGTAAAGATCCCAAAGTCTGCGCTTGATTGACTTGCAGGCTTCCACATTCATAAGAGTGCTTCCAAAGACAGGCCAACTTCTTTCAAAGCGACAGGCACACAATTAAAGAGGAAATAACGCTTTCAAACCAGGAAGATAACATTTTTGAAATGTGATACAGTGTAATGCACTCCTTGCTTGGCTCAGAACAGGCCCAAGATGGAGAAGCTGTCCTTTGGGTGGGTTGAATCAAAATGTGGAGATAAGCATCCATGAGGTCTCCACAACTGCACGGAATTAATGACGTGGTAGGGGAACAAGTCGTCTTTGCTGCTAGAGCCAAGATTATGAAAGTCAAGATCCCAAAGACTTGCAGGCTTCCACATTCGTAAGAGTGCTTCCAAAGACAGGCTAACTTCTTTCAAAGCGAGAGGCACACAGTTAAATAAGAAATAAAGCTTTCAAATCAGGAAGAGAACATTTTTGAAATGTTACATAGTGTAATGCACTCCTTGCTTGGCTCAGAACAGGCCCAAGATGGAGAAGCTCTCCTCTGGGTGAGTTGAATCAAAATGTGGAGATAAGCATCCATGAGGTCTCCACTATTGCACAGAATTAATGACGTGGGAGGGGAACAAGTTGTGTTTGCTGCTAAGAGTCAAGATTATGATTGACTTGTGGGCTTCCACATCCGTAAGAATCCAAAGAGTGCTTCCAAAGTCAGGCCAACTTCTTTCAAAGTCAGGGCCACGCAATGAAACAGGAAACGATGCTTTGAAGCCAGGAATGGCACATTTCAAAACAGGCCCAAAATTGATCTGTTGCGTTCCTTGTTTTGCATTGTTCATCTTACTCCAAGTGCGAAGGAAAGTCCTAAGTATATAATTCCAATAATGGAGTTTTCCTCTCCATGTTTTCCTGTCTTTGCTTCCTTTGCAGTATTGAGTTGGTATTTGGTCTCAAACCAGTATGACACAGGCCACTAATGAAGTGTTGGTCAACGTTGCATGTTCTGGTTGTCTCTAATACTCAGAGTTAACCATTGATCGCCACACGGCATCTCCTTAAATATGATATGTATTCACATTTCCCCAGGTGAGCGCTTTCCTTGACGTCACGTCTCCTTCGAGCCCCTCTCCTTGGCAAGGAACACCCTCCGGAGCCCTTTGTTTTGTTTTGTGCCCCACGTCGACCTACTTTCCCGGCACTCACAATACCTTGTTTGTCTCTCTCCTCTCCGGCCTAGTTGGCTTCAACGGGAGTCCTCCGCTTGGCAAGGGCGAGCGGAATAGTACAGAGCTTGGCGGGTGTGTTTTCCAAATAGGACCCGGGCTTTCAGGTTTGGGAGATGCCAGGTCTCGTAATGGGGCCGCTTTGGGCGCGGACCGATTAGAGAGAGGCGGAGGTGCCCTTCCTTGATGCCCGGCTGCTCCCTTGGGAGGTTCCTTGAACCTGATAAGAAATCTCCTGCAGAATCTGGCCCATCTTGTATGTTTGGGATTACGATACGGTGTAGTAGGAAGGCCGCCAAAGTGACTTCATCTTGGCTGGAGGAGGTCGCTTTGAACCTCTTACACTCCCTTATACTTTTCTTCTGCCGTCAGCAGCTTTTGTTCATGTTTTATGGAGCGACGTCAAGCACGAAGGAGGCCCCAGGCGACAGGAATAGGTCACCCGCCAGATAGTTTTGGGTTAGGACAGCTGTGGATGGTGGTAGTTATAGTCCAGAACGCTTTCCAGGCGAGCGATTACCTGCCCTGGGTTGAAGGGAAAGGAATTGCAGGGAGATTAGGGGGAAAGGAAAAATATGGGGGGCAAGGGGGTTGCGGAGAGATTGAAGGAAAGGGAAAGGAAGATGAGGACTGTAGGGAGATTGAAGGGAAAGGGAGGGAAGGGGATTGCAGGGAAAAGCAAGAGATGGGGAGAGATTAGGATTGCAAGAGATTGAAGGGGGGAAGGAGAGAAGAGGATTGTGGAGAGATTGAGCAGAAAATAAAAACATGGAGAGAGATTAGGATTACAGAGAAAGGAAAGGTAGGAGAGAAGAGGACTGTGGAGAGACATGGGATAGGAAAGGTAGGAGAGAAGAGGTTAATGGAGAGATGAAGGGAAGGGAAAGGTAGGATAGAAGAGGATTGTGGAGAGATTGAAGGGAAAGGAAAGGTAGGATAGAAGAGGATTGTAGAGAGATTAAATGTAGGAGAGAAGAGGATTGYGGAGAGACAAGAGATAGGAAAGGCAGGAGAGAAAATGATTGTGGAGAGATTGAAAGGAAAGGAAAGGTAGGAGAGATTGAAGGGAAAGGAAAGGTAGGAGAGAAGAGGATTGTGGAGAGATTAAGGAAAAGGAAAGGTAGGAGAGAAGAGGATTGTGGAGAGATTGAAAGGAAAGGTAGGAGAGAAGAGGATTGAGGAGAGATTGAAGGGAAAGGAAAGGTAGGATAGAAGAGGATTGTGGAGAGATTAAATGTAGGAGAGAAGAGGATTGTGGAGAGACGAGATAGGAAAGGCAGGAGAGAAAAGGATTGTGGAGAGATTGAAAGGAAAGGAAAAGTAGGAGAGATTGAAGGGAAAGGAAAGGTAGGAGAYTGAGAGAGAGGTAGGAGATTGAGAGAGGATTGAGGAGAGATTGAAGGGAAAGGTAAGGTAGAGGTTATTAGTGAAGAGATTGAAAGGAAAGGTAGAAGAAGAGAATTGTGGAAAGCTTGAAGGGAAGGGAAAGATATGGGGAAGAGGATTGTGTAGAGACTGAAGGGAAAGGAAAGGTAGGAGGAGAGATTAGCATTCCAGAGAGTGAGTGGAAAGAAAAGGTAGGAGAGAAGAGGATTGTGGAGATTGAAGAGAAAGGAAAGGTAGGAAAGAAGAGTGTGGAGAGATTGATGGGAAAGAGCTGGGAAGACAAGTGGATTGGGGAGAGATTTCCAGGATCAAAGCGGAGGAATGAGGATAGGCAGAGTTGAAGTGAAATCTCTATTTTGAGCCGTATGCGAAGTCCTATCCTTCAGGCAATTCCCACCTGCAGCCCTCGTTCTAAAGACCAAGGCCTACCTATCTACACTGGCTCCCTTCAGTCCCTGACACCCGTCTTCCACATGTGCCGTTGATCTGACTTCACCAGAGAAACCCACATGGCTCTTTCAACCCATGGCTTTGAGGCCTATCTGCTGCACATGGGTCCCTTTTGCTCTCCCGTAACCCTTGTTCTTGTTCCTGGGGATGTTCTCCTTGTTCCAGGAACTTGGAGCCGGGCTGAAACGTGAGGGCCTGGAGCATCTCTCGCCTCCTGAAATGTCCTTTGATGTGGCTTGGCAAAGCATATGGCTTTCTTTCTTCCACACGAGGCCCTCCTGATTCAGGAGCCTGACACTAGATCTAAAAGAGGCGTACCTTCACGAGCCGATACCCGGAGTCAGCCATAGTTTTGCTTTGGTTCGTGATTACAGAGATTTCCAAGCTCAACCCAGGAGTCTTAATAGAAACGTGGTTGCTTTCGGCACACATCTTCCCGTTGAAACTGCAAGGGACAAACTACGGAGTTGGCTTGTTTTTCTCATGATTTTCTCCATCTTTGTCTTCCGGGCCATCTGGATGCCAGGGCTGCCGTATTCTGCAATCCTGGCAAACGTTGCCTTTGACTTGGTGACAAATCGGCCTAGACCTTGTGGCTCCTTTCTTGAAAAAGGCCAAGGAATGGCATTGAACAACAAGCCTCATGGAGGCCTCTCCTCTGTCCGAATTTGGCATTCCTCGCGATACAAACATCCAACTTAACGAGTCCTAGTTAAGAACAAGGCCAAGACAACAAGAAGTGAGATGTATCTCCCCCTCGGAAGGGAAATCCCATCCTGGAGGAGTTATTATCATGGGGGAAAGGAGTCTTGGCTGAACCTTTATCCCTGCTCTGACTTACATACAGATTCAACTTAAGAACATTCTGATGACAATAATAATCTATATACATTAAAATGTAATGTTTGTTTGTGGGATTAACATAACTCAAAAACCACTGGAAGAATTGAGACCAAATTTGGACACAAGACACCTCTCAGGCCAACGAGTGACCATCTATATAAATAAAAAGGTAATGTTCGTTTGTGGGATTAGCATAACTCAAAAACGGTTGGATGAATTGACACAAAATTTGGACACTATACCCCTAACAGACCAACAAGTGACCATCACTCATAACCCCCCCCCCCCAAAAAACAGTGGAAATTACTTAAAAACCCCAAAAGCTACATGACAAAAAGCTAAATGATACAGAAAAAAGGGAAGGAAGAGGAGAAAGAAAGGAAAAGAAAGAAGGAAAGAGAAAAGGAAAGATGGAGGCAAAGAGTGAAAGAAGGAAAGAGAGAAGGAAGAAAGGAGAGAGAGAAGGAAAAGAAAAAGGGGGAAGGAAGGAAAGAGGTAGAAGGAAGGAAAGAGAGAAGGAAGAAAAGGAGAAGAAGGGGAGAAAGAAAGAAGGAAAGAAGAAGGAAGGATGGAAGCAAAGAGCAAAAGAAGGAAGAAAGAGGTAGAGAAGGAGAAAGGAGAAGGAAAAGAAAAGGGAAAAGGAAGGAGGTAGCGAAGGAAAGAGAAGAAAAGAGCGAAGGAAAGAGGCAGCAAAAAGGAAGGAAAGAAAGGAGAAGGAAGGGAAGCAAAAAGAAGGAAGGACGGAAAGAGGTAGAGAAGGAAGAAAGGAAGAAGGAAAGAAAAGGGAAGGAAGGAAAGGAAGAAGGAAGGAAAAGAGAGGAAGGAAAGAAAAGGAGGGAAGGAGGGGGAAAGAAGAGGAAGAAGAAGGAAAGAGGAAGAAAGGAAAGAAAGGAAAGAGGAGGAGAAAGGAAGGAAGAAGGAAAAAGAGGGAAGGAAGGAAGGGAAGAAAGAAAGAGGAAGAAAGAAAGAAAGGGAAAAAGAGAAGAAGAGAAGAGAGAGAAAGAGAAGGAAGGAAAAGAAAAAGGTGGAAGAAGAAAGAGTAGAGAAGGAAGAGAGAAGGAAAGAAAAAAGGAGGGAGGAAGGGGAAAAAACAGGAAAAAAAAGAAGGAAAGATGGAAATCATTTCCCTACATCCCAACAAGTCACATTTCCCAAAATCCAGTTGTCGCAAGGAGAGAAAGTGAGGTGAAATCTTCTGCACCAGGGCACTATGCTCTCCAAAGGTTATGTGAATTTTTTCTTCATTGTGGTCTCTGTGAAATTGCACATATGGTATTTCCTGTACATACATCCACACGTACATAAGGACAGCTGGAGTTACCCTTTAAAAATGTACCTATTTCGACTTGCAAACAAATTCAACTTAGGAACAAACCTTGCTCGTAACTTGGGGATTGCTTGTCCTTCAAAAAACAGGGCTGTAAACAAAATCAGGGTTGCGAGGCTTTAATTAGTATTTACAGGGTTTGTGTGGGATTGCAAGGTGGCCTTTTTGAGGTTTTTGCCGCACCGCCGACAACTAGAAGGAAGAGATCTTTCACAACTTCGAAGCGGCGACTTTCCCAAAGAGCGAGGCGGCTGCCTCTCCTCGTCCCGCGTGTCTTGGCCCGTATCGAGGCCTGGAAGGATCTTTTTGGGTCACGTTTTGCGGAGCGTTCTGCAGGCTTGTTGGGCCTCGTCTTCCTATGGCCCACACATACAGACCTGCCCGGCCGGGATTTCTGGGTGGTTTCGTGGAAAACTGGGAGAGTCAGAGGGAAGAGGCCTCTTCCTGTCGTCGAGGCGAGAGTTCGGATGGAAGGTTTTCTGAGCTTGTTCGTTAATTGAGATCAATGTTGAGTCTATCCCTGTCCTGGACCTCGTCAAATCGATATAGAAAAGGAAAATCGTAATGCAAACTCGTTCCTTTTGCCGTGAAGGCATTCTTTCGGATATTTCAATTGACCAGAAGGCCAAGCAAGCTTCTGTTCAGATTTGTTCAGAGGAGGCATTGGGTTCAAATCCAAATAGACTGCATAGGCCATCTACGTCGATACCAGGCAAGATTCTGGAAAAGATTGTTAAGGAAGTGGTCTGCAAACACTTAGAAACAAATGCGGTCATCGCTAATAGTCAACATGGATTTATCAAAAACAAGTCATGCCAGACTCATCTGATCTCTTTTTTCGATAGAGTTACAAGCTGGGTAGATGCGGGGAATGCCGTGGATGTAGCGTACCTGGATTTCAGGAAGGCCTTCGACAAGGTCCCCCATGACCTTCTGGCAAGGAAACTAGTCCAATGTGGGCGAGGTGGATCTGGAATTGGTTAAATGGACGAACCCAGAGGGTGCTCAGTAATGCTTCCTCTTCATCTTGGAAAGAAGTGACAAGTGGAGTGCCGCAGGGTTCCGTCCTGGGCCCGATCCTGTTCAACATCTTTATTAATGACTTAGATGAAGGGCTAGAAGGCAGGATCATCAAGTTTGCAGATGACACCAAATTGGTAGGGATAGCCAATACTCCAGAGGACAGGAGCAGGATTCAAAACGATCTTGACAGATTAGAGAGATGATTGGCCAAAACTAACAATGAAGTTCAACAGGGACAAATGCAAGATACTCCACTTTGGTAGGAAAAACGAAATGCAAAGAGACAGAATGAGGGACAATGCCTGGCTCGAGAGCAGTACGTGTGAAAAAGATCTTGGAGTCCTCGTGGACAACAAGTTAAACATGAGCCAACAATGTGATGTGGCGGCAAAAAAAGCCAATGGGATTTTGGCCTGCATCAATAGGAGCATAGTGTCTAGATCTAGGGAAGTAATGCTAGCCCTCTATTCTGCTTTGGTTAGACCACCTGGAATATTGTGTCCAATTCTGGGCACCACAATTGAAGAGAGATGTTGACAAGCTGGAATGTGTCCAGAGGAGGGTTACTAACATGATCAAGGGTCTGGAGAACAAGCCCTATGAGGAGCGGCTTAAGGAGCTGGGCATGTTTAGCCTGAAGAAGAGAAGGCTGAGAGGGATATGATAGCCATGTATAAATATGTGAGAGGAAGCCACAGGGAGGAGGGAGCAAGCTTGTTTTCTGCTTCCCTGGAGACTAGGACGCGGAACAATGGCTTCAAACTACAAGAGAGGAGATTCCATCTGAACATGAGGAAGAACTTCCTGACCGTGAGAGCCGTTCAGCAGTGGAACTCTCTGCCCTGGAGTGTGGTGGAGGCTCCTTCTTTGGAAGCTTTTAAACAGGGCTGGATGGCCATCTGTCAGGGGTGATTTGAATGCAATGTTCCTGCTTCTTGGCAGAATGGGGTTGGACTGGATGGCCCATGAGGTCTCTTCCAACTCTTTGATTCTATGATTCTATCTACTCTAACCCCCTTCTACCTTCATGCAGGAAGAGCACAATCAAAGCATCCTTAAGAGATGGCCATCCAACCATCTGTGTTTGGAAGAGGCTTTGTTTTTGCACCCACTGGGCTGGTTGCACTCTCTCAGTCTCAAGGAAGGCCACAGCTCAAGCCCTATCAAGTGGTATTAACCCGAAAGGCTTGTGAAACCGGTGCTTGTGCCCAAGTGCGATGAGGACACCCTCGAGGTCATTGTGACCGTAGATGACTTTAGATACACACTGAGGAGGAAACAGCCTCTGAGGTTTGCCTAGCTTTGGGTTAGAAAGATGCTGATGTTGGCTCCGTTTGCCAAACGAGTTCCCCGCCTTGAGAGGTGAGAACAGCTCCTTCCACCATTCTGCTTGCCTGGCAGAAAAGAGCCCTGGAGGGGAGGCCAAACAGGTGTTGCTCACCTGCATTTACCTTCAGAAGCGTGTGAACGAGGCTTTGTTTGTGCCAGCCTTTGTGGTCAAGGGAGGGGAAAGGCTCGGGCTCCTCTCCGACGACGCGTCTCCGGCTTAATTCAGTGCTACCTGGTTGAGA